TTTGTTGCGTTTTGGAGGATGAGTGTAAACTCTTAATGGAGTTGATCATTTCTAAGTGTCTATAGCAATAGGGACATAAAGAACTCCACCTAAATGGTCATAGAAGTGGTGTCGCTTCAACAAGAAGATGTTGGATTCTCTTGTAAATGACCATTATTAGCAAGATGAGCATATGACCATAATAGTGCTAAAAGGTTTTAAACCTCTTGGATTAGATAGACAAGTCTTATGTGTGTCACACACTTATGTCCAATATAAGTAGTTATGGTTTAATCCTTGGACACCAATAGCTTCATTAGATATGAGGTTTAAATTGAGAGATACCTTCTTTAAGCATATTTCTCGTCGAGTAAAATTGAATTAACATTTCCAAACTAGTGGGGGAATGTTGAATAGTTTGTAAATGTTTAAGATCCCAGATCAAGAAAGTATGGGAACTTAAAAAAGTTTATAAAGGCTTATTCTTTATCAACAAATAATTAAGTAAAATGAAATCCAAGGCAAATTGGGCCTTACCCCTTTATATATAGTCAAAAGATGGGCACTTGGGCACTTGGAGCTTAATTGCTAGAACATCCTTAACTTTTTTATTATTTTTGGATTTTTTATTTTATTTTATTAAATTAAAATTTGGAAAGACATGTTTGAAAATCATATATAACTTTTGGTAGTCAAAAGATACCTCTATGAAATAGTGTCTTTTTTTGAGGGATACATCTTTACAAATAGTGACTTTTCAGGTAATATAAATTCCTATGTGAAGTCAGAGTTCTACATCTAATTTTTTGAGAGAGTTTTGAGTTCTGTTGTATCCTAGAAGATTTTAAATCCTTAAGGAAAGTGAAATCATGTCTTAGAACCATTCCTTTTATTCTTCTTCTATTTCTTATTTTCTATCAATTGGGAGAATCTTCAAGCTATTGCAATAGGAATAGTGAAAGATGTTGAGTACTTGCACCAAGGTTGTGATAAACAAATCCTTCATTTTGCCATCAAGCCTCACAATATCTTGCTAGACAATAACTTCAATCCTAAGATCTTTGACTTTGGTCTAGCAAAGCTGTGTTCCAAGGAACAAAGTGCTGTTTCTATGACAGCAGCAAGAGAAATAATGGGATATATTGCACCTAAGGTACTGTCTAGGAACTTTGGAACAGTGTCATATAAATCAAATTATAGTTTTGGAATGCTATTGTTGGAAATGGTAGGAGGGAGGAAGAACATTGACATCACAGTGGAGGGTAAAAGCCAAGTTTATTTCCCAGAATTGGTGAATAATTGCTGAGATAAAGGAAAAGTGCTGGGGATTAGAATAGAAAATGATGGGCATGCTGTTGAATGAAGTTCAGATTTTTGTAATTTTTGAAGTTACTGTGCCATCACAAGCTGCAATAGTTTAGTTTCTGATTTTTGATGTAATTTGACCTTTGGTTGGGTATCTTTTTGTTAACCTTCTCTCATTATTGTATAGGGGGCTAAAATTAAGTTACTTGTAGTTGGTAAACTACTTCCTCTTTCACAAAATCTAGTGTCTATTTTTGTATAAAAGTAGAAATCAATAAAATTTCTAGTGTTCTGCTCATTTTTTCTCTTTGTTTTTCTCTCCATTTTTCCTTTGAGCAAAAACATAACACATGCTAAGATAGCATGAAAACTTCCAATTGTTGGACTTTGGTGCATCCAGTGGTTCCCAACGGACTGTCCATCAATGAAATCCGTGGTTCAATATGTTGGAAGGTGAAGCCGACAGTTTGACAATGCCACCAAACCCCTTTGGCCATGCAGATGGATCACAGACAGGTGCCAACATCCCTAGGAGGCCAGTTAACATCGAATTAGCAACAATCTCTGAATTATAATCATAGAAATTCTTTCTATTCTCCACTCTTTTCCATTTTTTTTATAAATAATTGTACTACAAAATGATATAATAATTGTGCCAAAGTATACAAATCATAATGATTATACTCTATAAATCATAATGATTATACTCTATAAATCCCATAGTTGAAGCAAAGTTTCAATTTTTATTTTAATCTAGTAACAAGAGCAATGCTAGGGGCACTCGCCAATTGCACTCTCCAGCCAACACTTCCATTGTCATTGGGCCAGATTATTGGGTTGCAAGAGGTTACCTTTCAAAACCTTAAAAGTAAGCTTATGTGGCCTAATAAAAAGTCATGTGTTGGCTGGAGATTGCAGAAGGCAAGTGCCCATAGCACTACTCCTAGTAACAATTTTAGTTAACAATGGAAGTACATGATATTAATCTCTTTGCTTCAAATGAAAATTGGTAGGGTTAGCCTCTACTTTGACAAAAAGTTGGGAAGCGTTGAGAGAATTAGAGTTGGCTATTTACCAAATCAACAAGTCAGAATATGGGAAAAATATGCAACAGTTTCCATAACTAAGAATATTTTCCTGGCAATGAATTTGGGAGCCAACCTTTACGCTTTAGCATCATCTGACATAGTTGGCTTATACTTGCATGATGTGTAGTTGGAATTCAGAATGAACTAAACAAGGCATGGGAGGCATTGCAAAGTCGTGAAGTTGATCTCCTTGCACTTCACGACTTTGCTTGCTATTGGGTGAAGGACAAGTTTCATTTGCACTGGTTTGATTTGTTTTGATTCCATGGTTTGCTTGGTTTTTACATTGCCCTGATTTAGATGACAAGTCACAATGGAGAAAATTTGCTTCTAAAGAAACCAAAGCCCTTCACATAACGTTGGACAAGAGTTCCACACAAGTGACATTGGTTTTTATTTCTTTTAAATTTCAAAGTTAAGGGACCAAAATGAAATTGGTTACAAAGTTGATGGACTATGTGAGCAATCTTGGTAAAAGACTACTGAAAATGTTATTGCCAAAAGATAATGGAGTTAAAGAAACAATTACTTTGATTCAAACGATAGTTCATAATTCACAAATAGAAAACTAAATGGGTCATCAACCAAATCAACAACATACAAGATTATGGCACAATACAAACCAACCAAATTCACCAGGAATTTGATATATTTTACAGGAAGAAAACTGAGTGCGTCATCTACCAAACCAACAACACAAGATTATAGCACAATACCCAATACTATTAGCTCTGAATGTGCATTTACCTAGAAATGCATTTCAAGTAGACCATTATGATCTAGCATCAAGCGACATAGTTGGCACTGCTGCTAGACTTATACTACCACGATCTGGGGTAGGCAATTCGTCAGAAGGACCAAAAGCAGGCTTGGGAGGCATTTCAAGGAGCTCAACTTCACTTTCAAGCATCTCCAAGACTTTGGTCATGGAAGGACGAAGGGCAGGTTTCATTTGTATGCACCACAAGGCAACTATGGCCATCTTCCTCACAATATTCTTTTCAACATCTGTAACATCTCCCAACTCTATATCCTCTCCCTGATCAAAACGTTCATAAATCCATTTTGAAAAGTATATCTGACTTGAATGGTCAGCAAATGCATTTACATTCCTTCTCCTTCCCACCATCTCCATCAACAACATTCCAAAGCTATATACATCAGCTTTGTATGAGACGCCTCCAATATTCCTGTAGAATAATTCTGGTGCCATGTATCCTTGAGTACCTCTTACTGTAGTAAGAGATACAATACTCTCATTTGTCGGATACAATTTTGCAAGGCCAAAATCCGAAACTTTTGGATTAAAGCTCCCATCCAAAAGGATGTTGTGTGGCTTGATATCAAAATGTAGAATTTGCATTTCACATCCTCGATGTAAGTATTCTATCCCCCTAGCCACTCCAAGAGTGATTTCAAACATTCTCTGCCAGTTTATAGATGGGCTATTTTGATGAGAAAATATGATTTTATCCAAAGATCCATTTGGCATGAAATCATATACAAGAGCTCGTTTAGCTCCCTCCACGCAAAATCCGATTAGTTGCACCACATTAACATGATGAACCCTCCCAATGGTGGCAACTTCATTGACAAAATCTTGGCCATTAGCTTTTGATTTGCTCAATAATTTTACTGCCACTAAATTGCCACTTCGAAGCCTTCCTTTGAAAACTAAACCATAACCTCCTTCACCTAACTTATCCTTGAAACCTCTAGTCATTTTCTTTATTTCAGAATAAGAGTACTTAATAGGCATGAAGTTGTTCTGCTTTTGAAGGAACTCTTCAATTGCATTATCTGCAGACAAATGTCTCCTATAGAACTTGTACACAATAACTGCAATCAAGATGGATAGCCCCAACAAAGCTCTTGCTAAAATAAATCCACCTTATCACAAAAAATTAGGTACAGAATCACATTAGATAGTTATATATTATTTACAATAAAATACTCGCTTGGCAAACTAGAGTGGAATTAAGACTGACCTGTTAATTCGAGAAAGAGAACATCTACAATAACAAAATTACAAAGATATGTAAGCAAATAAACATTTGGTACCAGGAATGGAGTATTAATTCTAGTAAAGATTGGAGTAGAAAAG